TGCACAACTTTGCCATATGTTCCGGGGTTGACTTCGCATTTACTGAAAATGCTATGGACGTAATAAATGACGTATTTGTGAAACGTACAATTGTCTTGTTTTTCCTCAACTCTGTTATTATGAAGTTTCACCAAGTGCCGACAGTTTCTAGTATCGATTATATAAAACTAATGTAGGTTTCTTAATCTAGCGTATGGTGGCCTTATCAAATGCTTATTTTTAATGTACACATTAACTGGTTAGAGGTACTTGATGATGACTGATGATTTCATGTTAAAACAGACGCCAATTTTTAGGCCCAGTAGGTGCTGCTGCCTAACTAATAACATTATGACATCACTTTTCTAAAGTCACCTATTGCCTTTAAATGGTCTTAAATCAGTAGGTATATAGGTAAAAATTTAATCTTAATGTGCTATAAAAAATATATAATGAAAACCAGAACTTTGGTAAAGACAACACTTTTTCATATTAACAGTCACTTTTTGTTGAGGTACTGGCATATGGATAAATGATAGAAGTGTTTATTAAGTATTTCAAACATACCACTAAATAACTACAGTAAGAATGAACAAAGAGGCTAAAAGAAAATGACAAAATCAATTCAAATCATAGATAATTACAGTTACCTAAAATATTCATAATATAATTGTCTTATAACCACCACTACACAGATTTCTAAACATACATACATATATATTATACAAATGAAGATTCCTGAAGGATTGCTTTAGCATAAATATCAAAATGTGAGTAAAAGTTGCTTAAACATTATAATAAAAACAATGAGCACTGCTTAGTAGAGAACAGTAGGAATTAATATATTTAGGAATATGTAAAATCAAATACAGTTGTAAAGTGAAAAGTTAGTTACACATTCATTTCTTTAAGAATCTAATATGAATTTTAATTTTTTAAGTGAAATGCATATTTACTTTTAGCTTCGATTTTTTACAATTTTCATTTGGTTTGTCAGTTTTCTTTATCTTCCTGAATAAATCCGCGTGTTTTTGGTTTCTTCTTTTCTTCTAACTGTTGGTGGAGAAGCCTCACACACAGAGAATTAACATTAATTCTGCTGGCCAGTGGTGTCCTGTCAGTGGTTTTCAATAAAGGTTTAGGACAATCTTCTCTTAGTTTAGATTCTGAAAGTGTTATACAAATAAATAAATGCAATTTAAATACAGCATGAATGTGTACATTTTTTCAAAAGACAAAATTAATATCATTCATAATATTTATATATTTACTGATGTTTCAACATTTTTTATATATTTAGATGGGGAAAAAACGTAAAAAAATCTAGTGTTAATTACAAAAAAAACAAAGATAAGCGGATTTAATAAGATTGGTAAATAACAGAATTAGGATTAAAGTGTAATGCAACTTTGGCTACAAGTTACTTACTAGCAGTTAAAAAGCAGACTAAATATATTGTTACGACAGCGGAAGTCACGTGATGCTGCTGGCGCGTTTGGTGCTGGTAGCGTGCGTGAAATTTCTCGAATGATCGGGTGTATTCGAGACGCCTCCTTCTTTAGTATATAAGCTTGGCAGGGAAAGCCCGCAGAAGTGAATGAAGAGAGTTCCAGGTAATTTACGATTCTGATTCGAGCTAGTGTGTGTTTTGTTATCGAGATTGTGAATAGCTGTGATTTATAGCGTGTATTATAAAAGTAGTTAAGTTTTAAAGTGACGAGAAATGTACTGATTGTGAAATTACCTTGTGCTAAAAGTTTGTATCGAGAAAGAATAAACTGGTTTAACCAAGAAAGGACTTGTATCGCTGAAGTTTATTGGAAATAATTTCTACCGGAAATTAACAAACAAGTAGATACGCGATAATATTGTATTACTACAAAAATATCAAATATAGACTAGTTACTTACCACTTCATATTTTGAAGATAAATTTAATTAGTTTAGGGAGAAGATAAGGTTGTTATAAGGTAGTATAATATATCTAACTCTAATGCTAAACTTAATAGTGTTGTCAATAGGTGTTGATGATCACTTGTTCCCCAGTTACGAATAGTATAAATGTTAAGTGCTTACAGTTTATTAGGTGTGATAGGAGCAAGGAGTGGGTTTTATTTGGGAACTTGGAACTTATATGCACATTTAAGGAAGCTAGTAGTGAAAGTGTACAATTTTTATGTAGAGTTTGAAGGTTGGAGGAGAAATTTGAGATAAATTGGATAAAAAAAGAAGGGTAAATTGTAGGAACTGGCACCAGGATTTCAAGAGAAAATTAAGCTTTTGAATGCAAAGGATGGAGTAGCTAATAGTAACTAAAAGCATTATCAATTGTATCAATAAGGCTAAAAGTAGTGGATTTAATTGTAAGTTGCAGATTCTATTAAGTAACCGATTTCAACTTTTAACTGTTACAGATGAAACTAAGGAAGGGAATGAAATCAAAATGAACAAATTGGAATGAAAATGAAAAACAAACTGGCTATAGCTATAGATGATTCTTTGATAAAGCATGAGGATAGGATAGTCTGTGGGATAAATAGAGAGAAATAAATTGGATTATGCTATCCAGGAGCACTAGTGGAGGATAACCCCACTGACTAATCACTGAGCCACCAGAAGTGGAAGGGGGGCATATAATTGACAGAGTAAGTGATATAACAAAGAGTGCTTGCAGTGATGCAGTCTTTGTAGTGCACATAGGGGCTAGTGATTTAGGGAAGTGTAGGTCAATGGAGCAAACTGGTAAGCACAAGAGATTGATAAAGTAATTTAAAGAAAAGGGTCATAATAACTTAATTCTATCAGGGATATGGCTAAGACTTATCTTATAAATAGCTCAACTGGGACAGACTAAATACTAGGCTTAGGATAATAATGTAATATGGTTGGATATATAGGATCAGTTTAACGAGAAAAGGGAGCTTTTTGTAATGGATGATTTACACTTAAACACAGTAAGTGCTGGTGTATTTGCAAGAGCTATTAATTCAACTTTAAACTAGGATTAGACTATAGAGAGAGCCAGAATAATGAAACAAATAAGATGTAGATTGAGGTACGCAGTGTAAACTAGGTACAAAGGCAGTTTTAATAGTAAGTTAAACTGTTATTATTATAATGCTAGAAGTGTAAAAAATAAAATGAAGAGAGGATTTTTAAATAATGGGAATAACTGGCTAAATTTATGATGAAAAAATATCTTTGAAATACAAGAGTTATAGACTGATTAATAGGAATAGAGTACTATAAAGACGAGATGCTTTAAAGGTAAAGTGTGAGTTACTTCCTGTTCAAGTTGAGGATAAAGCTAATAGTAATGAGGTCGAATCTATTTGGATTTCTGTTTGTGGTAAAAAGGGGAAAAGGCTTTTAGTTGGAATTTGTTACATATTGCCATATGAAATTAGCAAAAATGAGAAATTCTGCAGAGAAATGAAGAATTCAACTGTTAATGAGGTCATAATCATGGAAAATAATAATATCAGGCATAGAGACTAGGAAATATTGGAGTCAAACAATGAGGGAAACAGATTTTTAAGAAACTGTTCAGGATGCATAGTTTTCTTCAACAATTGGTTAGGGAACCTACTAGCAACAATGCTATTTTAGATTTATTGTTAACTTCTGATAAAGAAATGGTTGATAGTGTAGAGTTCAGGGAACAACTGGGGAACAAGCAGTCATTGTTCAACTGGTCTGATATTTTGTTGCATATTTTGCAAATTTTGAAAATATGAGACAAGAATTATCTGTTGTGAATTGGATGACTGACTTAATCCTATGTCATGATTGAGGTCAAAGTGTGCATGCAACAATCTTTTACAGACTGCCATTCAACATAGCATTATATGCTTGATGTCAGAGTTAACAGCTATTCAGTTTCCCTATATAGCTTATAGTTCATGGTATAAGACAGAAAATACCCACAATGCAAATGCAGTATGAGCTTGTACAAAACTTGTATTTATATTTTTCACATGAACGTCACCTTGCACTCCAGCTTGTCAGTCTGAGTCTGACTTGTGTCATGATTTCAGACATTTTGAATACATATACTTTTGTAATATATCAGACTTTTTGTGCACAATGGAAGTGTACATTTTAATAAAAGTTGTCCATTAGCCTGACCCCATGCAAGTTCAGTTGACTGGAGATACTGATTAAATTGAAAAACTTAAGAAATACATTTTTAACTTTTCAAGATAGGCATTTTTCATATAAAATAGAAAGGGAGTCTGAAAATAAAAAAACAGATTGGCTCACAAAGTGTATATAAAAGATAAAAATAAAAGAGAAAGCATTTCAATTGAGTGCTATGATGGGAAATCTATAGAATTATAGAAAATGGGAAATTAAGATAGCAAAAACTATATGAGGAAAGGTTGACTGAAAATGTAAAATTAATAGTAAGAACTTCTTTAAATAAGTTAATCATAAGCAAAATGCTAGGATGAGAGAAAGACCTTTGAGAGACGATACAGGAAGACTCTGATTATCATGAGATGACTTGTTAATAAATTTTACTTTCTTTTTTAGTTTTTACTAATGAAGAACAATTGCTAGACAGAAACACAATGAAAAAAGATGATCACATGAATTCTGAGCTTATTAAGAAAATGTTTAAAGAAGAATAAATCTCCTGGGCCAGGTATTTCCCTAAGGGTTTTGAAAGAGGTTAATGATTGGATATATAAGCTACTCACTGTCATTGTTTCTTGTAAGCCCTTGAATAGAGGCCAGATGAATGGAAGTTGGTTAATGTTACTCCTCTTTTCAGGGGAGGTGATAAAAGCTGTCCCAGTAATCCTAGACCTATTAAGATGCTTTGCATAGTCATTTAAAAAAGTCTAACATTTTGTCGGATAATCAATATTGTTTCACTATCAGCAAATTTTGCCTTACTAATTGTTTAACATTCTTTGAAAAGGTTACAGTTTATGCTGATGATAGTGTGGATGTGTATTTGATAGGTGTGGGGGATAGGTTAGCTAATTGGATAGAAGAGTGGCTGGATGGACGAAGGTAGAGGGTTGTTATAAATGTAATTCAGATGAATTGGATTAATTTCACAAGTGGGGTAGCTCAGGGCTCAGTGTTAGGACATCTGCTGTTTTTGATCTACACCAATGACAGATGAAGAAATGGTCAATCAATTATTCACATTTTGAGAGTTGCTGCTGTTTCCAAAAGGATCTGAATTACTTGGCGAGTTTGGCAAATGGCTTTTTATTGTAATGAATGCAAGGTAATGCATATGTGATATCATGATTTGAATTATGAGTATAATTTTGATGGAAACAACTGTAACAGTGTTATGAAAGGAAAAGATTTTGGTGTTCTAGTTGATCAATCTCTTAAGCCATCCAAAAAATTTGCTGTTGCTAGAAGCGGGGCAAATGGGATTTTAGGTTGTATCTACAAAAATTGAATACAAGTCTAAAGAGGTTGTAATTTCATAGTATGGTCCTTAGTTAGGCCACATTAGAAGCATTGTGTTCAGCTGTAATTAACTTACCTTAAGGATTTTGAATTAATGGAAAGGGTTCAATGGAGAGCTATTAGGATGATACCTAGGATTAAAAGATTGTCATACAAGGATAGGTTAAGATTTCTGAAATAGTTTTCTTTTGACAGAAGAAATGTTAGAGGAGATCTGATTAAAGTTTTAATGAATGTTATGGGAATTGATAATGTTGTTGCATCATTTTTATACTTAATGGTGAAAATGGTAGGACTAGGGGACACAAATGTAAAATTTGGCATGGAAGTCATTTATTTTTCTAACAGGGTAATTGACCTTTGGAATAGGTTTCTTTCAGATGTAGTGGGTACAATTAATTTAGGTAGTTTCAGGGAAGATGTTGCAAATATTTGAGTGATAAGGGTTGGTTTAGTGTGTTTTATAGGCTGTTCTTCCTTCAAGATGACTTGTAAGTAAATACAAATTTTAATTTTGCATTAAGTCTTTTAATTTGTTTTCCTTCCTAACTTTTCTAGGGATTACCTTCATATTAACCTCACAATAATGAATGCTAGTTCAGTGTTTACAGATTAAAAGTCCTAAAAATAATAAAACAATATATTTTTTTTTAATTTGCACAAAGATACTCAAGGGCTATCTGCATTAGCAGTTTCTAATTTAAATGGACAGAGTGGAGGAAAGGCAG